TTTAGAACAGTATATTTTCATGTTATTTAAGTAAAAAGTACCCTGTTTTAACAGTCCTGTGTGAAATCTGCTTGTCATGTGCTCCACCTGTCACAAAACCCAAAAGAATTAAATATGGACCCCGAATGCAACACTGGTAACCCAGTCTGTGGGTAGATTTACCTTAGGTTATACTTTGAACTGTCCAACCCCTGAGTCAGCCATAGGATTTCAAAAGGGAATACATATAGGGGCAGTGCCCTGGTTTTTCTTGTTTTTTGTTTTATATGAATGGAGATCATGGATAAATCCAGAATTTTGTAAGGAGGAGGGGGGAAGGGGGTTGATACTGTGTTTAGTGACCTGTCACCTCCCTTCCATTTTCCCCCTTCCTCAGCCACTGCTGTGGCTGTCTCCACTGTCCCTGTCTGCCCCAAGTGCAGGGGAGGGAAGGTTGAAGGGAAGGCTCCAGAGCCACTTCTGCCCTACTCCAGCTGGGCTGCAGGTGAAGCCAGGTTCAGCCAGAGACATCAGCAACAATGGCAGCCTTTCCCCATGACTGCTCCCAAGGTGACAGGGAACGCCCTGGGGACCAAGCCAGCCACTGTTGCGTCTTTGGCTGAACCACAGCAGGAAGGCTGTAGAGTGCCTCACCCCTGGGTCAGTAGAAGTAGCAGAAGCAGCAGGCAGGTGACAGAGGGAAAATAGGAGGGGATGTGCCATGGTGGGGAAAAGAGTGGGAAATGTTGCTGTCCTTGGGGACTGCCACACATGCTTTTACACCTTTTAGAACCCATGTATGTAGGTCAGATCTGACTTTTCTCTATTATCCAGATACATGAGAGAAGAGGGTCCTAAAATAATGCTGGGTTCCTGGCCATATGAATAGCAGTCAACCCATCCATTATTATGTCACACTAATAGAAGAAAATTGGTTCTAAGAACATAAGAGAGAAACTGACAAGTCTAGTCTCACCATCCAAGCTGAGTGAAAAATAAGTTTGAGATATAGATATATAAAAGGTAATAATCTAATGCACTGGTCATATATAAAGACATATCGAGCAATCGGATGGGAAATACAAGCCCAAACACAGCACAGTGTGAACTCCAACTTTCTTCAGTGATTAATATTTAGCATGGAAGTTTAAAATGAATCTTGCTTCACTAACAAAATTCCCCACATGTACATTCCTTCCTATTTGAAAATGATGTTTGCAATGAAAAAAGAACAGGCCACAAGTTGTCTTGACTCCATTGGCATTCACCAGCTATAAGCTGCTACTGTGTGGTGTAGTTCTCAGGATGTCAGGACTGAAAACCCCTCCCATCTAACAAAATGTAACTACATCATTACCCCTTTAAACTTAAGCCATTCTTAATGCTTCTTGTTCCACAGTCCATCAGTAACAAGTTTCCTCCAGTCTCTTAGGATTTACCTCAAGCCTCTTTCAAATAATGTCTCTCATCTATTGTATATTCTATTACTTAAAAAGTAGGCATGGAAAAGTGCACTTTACAAAATCTAGTCTCTGTACTACAGAATAAGCTTTTAGGTGCATCACATCTGATCCACTGACTCTCACTGAACTCAGTATGCAATGGTTTAGTCTCAGAGTGGTAGGCAAGGGAACTCCATGGATGACAATAAGACCTGGTTCACAACTCAGAAACAAGAAGTTTTTGAGTACAAAATTATGGGCATTTTTCTACTGCTTCACTAGGTCTATTCAACAGATGTATCCAGTCCCCTTGGATGTTTCACTATTCATATGAGAACTAGATAAACCAATAGCAGGTGTAGCGAGGCTCCTGAAAAATAACTTAAAAAGGAAAGTAGAACTAATCCTGTATTAACAACCCAAATACCACATGCCTGAGTCTGTAATTGAGGTTCTGCTGGACACAACTTTGTATTCTATCAGCCAAGTTCAAACTGACAATAATTTGCAAACAAAAATTATTTACATTCAGTGAAATGGACCTGAGAGAGAGATGGCATGATCCCCCTCTCAGACAGAAGAAATAAAAGAGCACTAATGAAAGACTGCCAAGATCAGAATCAAGCCCATTGTTTCTAGTTCAGCCTCACTAAATGCCTTCCTATCAGTTTAGGTGAGACGAGTAAGATTGTAACTTCAATGTCAAATTGACCTGAGAGAGCTGCAACTCATTTTTCAGCCTCTTGCAATGTCGCCAGCCAAATTCTCTGACATTCTTGCCAAGTTCCTCCAGCGAGAAAGAGAGTCAGGACCTAGTGTTCCTAATGTGCAAAACAAGCGCAAAAAAAAAAGAGCCACCAAAACAAAGCTTTTACGACATCTTGCATGGCATAAATGAGAAGTAAGAGTCACAAACAAAAGGTTCCCTTCTGCAGCTGACTTTTAGCAAAGACCCATAATAATTCTAAAGAAAGATTCCTTCTATTACACCCACATTTTCTAACTCTCTCAAGCTCCTCCTGGATTAACAGGATATTGAAACTGGCACAGTCCTAATACTGCTGAACATCCCAATAAAGATATCAACTGCACACAGTCAAAAACTATATTAAAAGATTTAACTTGACGCTGGTTGAGAAAACAAGGAAAAGCAGCCATTACAAGGGAATGGCCACAATATTGTTCAGCATGATACAACCAGGATTTAACTGAATTGTTTTCTTCAGGTACCCTGGTATGGCTGGGCATTGGAAGCAGTTCATCTCCCGGATTTTTGGAAGCTTCTGCCACAAAGTTATGAATTTTTAGGGCCAAACTTTGGTCAGTTTTTCAATGTGGATAAGGCTTATGGGGAGGGGTTTTGTATCCTCCTTCCTGTCATTAAACCAGCAGTAGCTACAACTGCAATCCCAGGGATTGCTCCTTGCTAGAACACCTTTGAAGTTGACAGACTTCTAAATTAAGTGTAATTAGCAAATAGAAAATTCTCTACCATCAGTGGAGCGCTCCACTGAGCAGATCAGAGGAGTCTGAGGCTCTTGGCAAGAGGATTAAAGAGCTTGGAGCGCAAGTGTTGTTCTCATCAATCCTCTCAGTGGAAGACAAGGGCCCAGGCAGGGACCATCACTCAAGGAAGGAAATGCATGACTGAAATGGTGCTCTTGATGTGAACTTTGGTTTCTTCAGCAACCATTTGGGTGTTTGGAGAAGAGGGCTGCTATCAAGAGACAGGGATCCATCTAACCAGAACTGGAAAGAGCATTTTTGGGCATTGTCATACCAACCTACTACTATAAGAAGAACTTTAAACTAGGTTCCATGGGGGATGGTCAACAAAAACCTTCAGCAGAAGAGCACACAATCCAGATGGGAAAGGACTAGAAAAAGCAGCTGAACTCTGGGAAAGCACCAGAGAGCCACAGGACAGCACCAAGTGATGCAAAAGGGAAACAATTAAGTGGGAATAAAAAAAAAAATCCAATGCAAGAGGGATGGGAAACAAGCAGGATGATCTAGAAGAACTATAATCTGATTGGTAACACAGAGCCCTGGTGGGACTGGAACAGCAACATCTCAGTCTGTACTGTTTCGGATGGGCAGGGTTGGAAGAAAAAAGTGGTAGTGTCACCTTGTATGTCAAAAATACATGCACCTGTTCCCTGGTGCAGGAGGAAGATAACGGATCGGAATGTATTTGGGTGATGGCAAAAGGTGAAAGATAGGCAATATGGTGCTATAGAAAGACAGACTGAAAGATAAAGATGAGAGGGCTGGAAGCTTCTAAGTGGCAGAGTATTGGAAACCAAAAAAGAAACTACTCCAACATGATGGAAGCACAAGAATGGTAAGGGACCAACTGGCTGTATGAGGAGCTTTTAGGGTGCTTCAAATGCAAGAGGAAAGCATACAAGCAAAAGGAAGATGGGCAGATCACCAAGGAAGCATATCAGGAAACAGCAATGACTTGCAGGGACAAAATCAGGATAGCAAAGGTAAAAAGTGAGCTGCACCTGATGAGGGAAGTTGAAGACAATAAGAAGAGTACGCTGTGAGTATGCTGGCCAAAAATGAAAGACCAAGAAAACTGTGGATCTACTGTTAAATAGCCAGGACAAACTCTATGCAGAACATGCAAAGATGGAGCTAGTCCACATCTACTTTGACTCAGTCTTCACAGAAAAGAGAAGCTGTGACCAGATACCCAATAAGGATTATCTGGATAAGGAAGGGGACAATCTGAGGGATAAAATAACAAAGGAAACAGTCAGATGGTTCTGAATTAATTCAAGTCGGTAGGACCTGGCACGAGGAGAGACTAAAGGAAGCAGACATGTTTAGCTTGCAGAAAAGGCAATTAATCGGGGACACAATAGCAGTCATTCTTCAAACATCTGAAGGGCTATACAGAAGAGGGAAAACACCTTTTCTTTCTCTCTTGCTGCAGAGAACAGGACACAGACCAATGGCTTGAAGTTGCTACAAAGTAGGTTTAGACTGGATATCAGGAAAATGGCTTTACTATCAGAATAGTGAGGCATGAAAATAGGCTGCCTACAAAACAAACCATTCCAGAATCTAGTCTGCTTTGTGATCAGGTTTGTACTTACGCTGTGAATGTTATACAGCTGAATCTTAGGAAAGGTCCAAAGCCTGGTAACACTTAATCTAATAAACATCTAATAAAAGTTGCAAGCTTTTACTCTAATTTACTCTACTTTATTCAACAGCAAAACTTCCACTCCTGTAAAAGGACTGGGTACCTCCTTAGCAAACCATGCACGTTCTTAAATAATTCTCTCAAACAAGCTGAGTTGTGTGTCGGCAAAACGTTTCTCAACACGCAAATGCTTAAAACATGCATTTATCATTCATTCACTAACAGCACCTTGTACACCTAAAAGCCATTGTGCGTTCAGAAACGCAACATATACACTAACATTATAAACCACAAAACTGAGATCATCTTTTTCTAAATAAGGTTGCGTGGCGATTAAAATTCATCCCTTCTTCAGCCACGAATTTTCTATAAAGCCCTGCAGAGCATCTGAAGGAAAATAAGCACTATGTGGCAACATTTACCCAAACTCATACAAGTAATTTCATGAACTGTCCGTTGGCATCAACAGGGTCTACACCCGTCTTGCTGCAGCAGCTGAGTTGTGAATCCAGAGCCCCCCTGTAGTCACTAGAGGGATTACACCCTAAACCGGCACTTTTTCAAATTCTTGCCATGTAAAAGTACTTAGTGCTACAGATCCCATCCACTAGTTTCTGTCACTCCCGTCAGGGATTAATCACTCTGGCGAAAGGAAGAGAACGTTTTCTCCTTTCAGATACATCCGTGGACTACCCGGACTGCAGCCTGGGCTCTCTCCTCACTGCCCCGCACACACATTATTCCCGGGCTGTTGAAGAGCCACAGCTCTTAATCGCATGTCGTGGCAGCGCCAGGATGCTACCATAGCCCTGGTGCTCCAGGGAGAAAAAAAATTGAAGCAAGGATTTTCGCAGGTGAGCTCTCTTATTGGCCCAACTGCGTAGTTAGGAGGGACAGAGACAAGCTTGGGGACACCAAGTGCCCTTCCCTCTGCTCTAGCTGCCTCCGCGTTTTTCTCAGCGACCTGAGGAAGGGTGCTTAGTACCCTGCGCGCCTCTCATCTCTTCAGCCGAGATGATGACCGGCAGACATCCTGGCGTCTCTCAGCACCTGCCTTTCACACGACCCCGTCCAGCAGCTCCATCTGCTGTGGGCGCCCCGCGAGGAGAGGGCGGGCCAAGGTGTCGGGGGCCGCTTCCCGCCCGGCTTCCCGGGGCTGCGTGAGCGAGCCGCCCGGCTG